AATAAGTTAGCTAAAGAAAGCTTGCTATGTTCAATCTCTAAGGTTTCCTTACCCACTTATGAACATTGTCTAATCGAAAAACAACATGAAAATCATTCGATAAGGCCTTAAGAGCCGAACTTCCATTGCAGTTAGTCCATTCAGATATATGTGGCCCGATGAATGTGAGGGCAAGACATGGAGCCTTTTATTTCATTACTTTTATAGATGATTTCACACGGTATAGTTATGTCTATTTGATTTCTCATAAGTCAAAGGCATTAGAATGCTTTAGACGATATTTGAATATGGTAGAAAATCAAATAGATAGAAAGGTAAAAGCCTTAAGAACTGATCGAGGATGTGAATATCTATCCAAAGAGTTCAAAGAACTTTGTAATGATAAGGGAATCATTAGACAATTAACTATTTCCAATACACCCACAACAAAATGGTATTGTTGAGAAGAGGAATAGAATGTTGCTAGAAATGATAAGGTCCATGATGGCGTAGGATAACTCATCTATTTCCTATAGGGAAGATGCTTTATTAACTGCGACTTATATTCCGAATAGAGTTTCTTCCAAATCAATACCTACTACATCTATCGGCTTTGGACAAATAAATCCCCTGATATAAGTTCTCTTAGATCCTGGGGATCAGCTGCCTGCATCCATGATTCCTTAAGAAAATTTGAAAAATTGGGCTCACGAGGCAAAAAGGGCATCTTTAAACAAGATACCCAGACCAGTCCAAAAGATATATGTTCACAAGTGAAAATCAAGATGGGACTATAACTGAGATAAAGTCACGTGATGTGATATTTCTTGAGAATGATTTTCCTAGTGAGGGAGAAATTAAAAAGGGAAAACCTTCATATGAATTAGATGATAGATTTGTACTTAAGGATCAATTGAGGAGCAAAAGGAAGTACTTATACCCATCGATCCAACTCGGAGTAATTTATCTCCAACTGCAAGTGACAGGTTCACATCGGAGCTTTCACTTCATAAGAGTACTAGACAAGTATGCCTAAACGTCATTTCGAGATTGAAGGACAAGGTTTCCTAGTATCTCCTAAAGATGGTGAAGAACCAAAATCAGTACAAGAAACTCTATCGTGATCTGCAAAAGAAAAATGGAAGATGCAATGGAAAAAAAGACGTAGTCTATAAAATCAAATCAAGTCTGGGACTTGGTTGATCTTCCATCTAATTGAAAAGCCATTAATAACAAATGGGTTCTCAAAATAAAGCGAAGAGCTTATGGGACTATAGAAAGGTATAAGGCTCGCTTCGTGGCAAAGAGTTATACACAACAGGAGGGTAGAGATTATTAAGAGACCTTTTCACTAATAGTGAGATTTACTTCAATTCGTCTACTCTTAGCTATCGTGGTACGTTTAGATTTAGAATTACATCAAATGGACGTGAAGAATACATTTCTCAATGGAAAATTAGATAAAGAAATCTACATAAAACAATCAATAGGTTTCATTAAAACAGACCAAAAGAACAAATGGCATGAAAGCAAATTACTTATTAGGTGTTAAAATCCATAGAGATCATTAAAAGAGGCTTATTGCTCTATCACAAAGCCATTTAAAAATAAAAAATAAAAATTCTTGAACGTGTCAAAATGAAGAATTGTAATCCCATTGACACTCCTATATCAAAAGACGAAATTCTAACTCTTCGTATGTGTCCGAAAACTCTTGATTGATTATTTGGAAGATAGGTTAAATGAATTTAGGTTTTTATAAATCAATATCATAATATTTAGTACAATCAATTAATCTATTGAAATGAAGTTTAGGGGTTGTTGATCCAGTGTTGTAAGCTATTTAAATATGTGTTGATTCCATAGTTGTTGAGTATTTATGTGGAATGTTTTTGGCTAATAGATAGAATCTATGTAGTAATTATACATTAGAATTTCAATCCCAATTACTTATCTAATTTTATTTTATTTTTAAATATTGCATTGGCCGTGTAACATAAGAAAAAATTACCTATATTGTTGTCTGATGTTGTCTTGAGTAATTCGATTTCATTCATCAGCAATATTTAAAAGATGAACTATCAAGTAAGAAACTGCGTACAATATAGAGTAAAAACAACCTTCAAAAACAAAAGAAAATATCACAAGAACATAAGTGATAAAAAAACAAAGAAAAACAAAAGTAGAGAAAAGCACATTAAAGTTCATTGAGACAAGGGCAAAATAATTACAAGCCCTTGTTTGATGGTCACTATAAAAAGAAATTAGGGGGAAATGATGTTTTGAATAGTGATTTTTTGAAAAATGAGTCGTAAAAAAAAATCATTTGGATATACATGCAAAATAATTTATTGTATAATTGTGTGGTTGAAAATAAGTTTAAGAAATAAAAAGTTTTAATTTAAAGGAAGTCAAATAGGGGTTAAGAACTATTTTTTCCGACTAAACATTGGATACTTAATTTGAAATTTAACACTTCTAGTGAGGGTTATTGTCTTAGTTGAAGCTTGGATGTTGGGATCCACATTTAGGAAGAATCATCACATATCGAGATTGTAACTTTCATTAGTGAAATCCAACTACACTTGAGCGGGGAAAGAAAAGAGTATTGTGAAATCAACTTTAGAATAAACACCTTCGGTATGTGATTAAAAATGAAATTTGGAGTGTGTATTCCACAGGGGAGAAAGAAAATATTTGACCTATTAGAGATCAAAGAAAAACCAATTTAAAAGTTCATAATGATTAGATCAACTATTCACACACGCTGATTGATCATTAAATAAGTAAAGAATTAGTTTTACTTATAATTCTTATAAATTTTTAATGAATTGTCAAATAATTTCAATACTTGATGTGAGTTCGGCAAAGTTATGTAATTTTCTTATTTTTTATTTTTTGTTTGTATACTTTTATTTTTAGTAGATAGTTTTATCTAGCAAATAAGAGCTTAAGTTTGTGGATATTTGATTATGCATTATCCAAGCTTTATTATTCATTTATTTTTAAACTAAATAGTTATCTACTTAATTTGCACAAATTAGTTAATTTAAGGAAAAATTCCAACTTGAACGCAATTCGAGTGAAAAGAGTGATTTTGAGCTAATTTGAAGTTGGTTTGAAGCAAATCAAGATTAATTGGATTGCGAGTATTGAGAAATATTAAGAGCACATATTGTAAAAAATTTCAAGTTTCAAGGGTGAAAGTCAACTTTTGAAAAGTTTGAGAATTAAATTGCATATTTTTGAAACTTGAAAAGGACCAATTTCAAACAATTATGAAGTTTAGAGGATCAATTTGGAAAATTTTGAAAGTTTCGATATCAAAATAGAAGTTTAGGATGAAAAATGATCAAAATTGAATAAAAATTAATTTAGGGAATAAATTGTAATTTTTTAGAAAGGTCAAGGGTTGACCACGGTCAACTGCGGTTAAAAAAAATGAAAAAAATTGTGGTCCAACCCAGCCATTGTTTGTTGTGGTCCGGGCCGCAGTTTGAATATTGCGATCGGCCATGACAATCAAGAATCTAATCTTCATCTTTTTCCCGCCTTGAAATATGATGATGTATTTTATTTCTTTCCTGTATTTTTTTTCTTCCCTCATGATGTGTAATTAAACGAATAGTTAGGACGAACGAGTGTAACCTAGTTTAAAACTTAATTTTATTTAGAAATTTTCAATTTTCAATTGATGCTAATGAATTATTGAACCTTAATTTTAGTTATAAAGTTTTAATTTCCAATTGAAACTTGTGAATTGTTTTACTCCTATTCTTAATGTCTTGGATTAATTGATCTCTAATTAACTGAATTATTTGATAATTGAATACTTTTGATTAAAGCTTGCTTAATCGGATTCACATAGAAATATATTGAGTTGGCTTAATTGGGCAAGATTGGTTTTAACTCGAGACGTAAATCAATTAAAAGGATAGCTATGATGAACTCGTGATCCTAACAATCTAACCATCGTATGAATAATCCACTTAAATACACTCCATATATCTATAGTTTTAAAAAAATAAAAATCACAAAAAGAATCGTTGTTAACTGTCCTCAATCGAATTGAAGTAAAAAATAGTTAAACTAATGGTTGGATAATAGTCCATGCAAGAACGATAATTCACTACTAAAACCATCTAAAATCGATCACTTCATAAATGTTCAAAATCGATACTTTAAAAAATGTTCATAATCGATAGCCCGAAACTCCGGAGCAGGCCCTAAGAGGAAAATTCTGTTAACCATTACTCAGGATGCAATAGATGAGAAATTGCTGGGATTAATAATTGTTTATAAGGCTTCTGCATCTGCAAATTGTGACTTACTATTTCGGTTTGTTGGGGGCGGGGGGTTGAAAACTTTGTTGAATCATTCAAAGTTGTTGGAAGAAAATGGGTCGTCCATGTGGAACTTCCTTTACACCAAAAACTAAAACATACATGATGAAATTCGAATTTACAGAATGAGAGAAAACAAAGTGTTGTGGCTTGATTTTGGAATAATAACATCTCAAATTTGATTTTTGTATTGTGGCTATCAAATTCTTTCATATGTGATCGAATTTCTAATAGAAAAGTGGGCACAAGTCAGTGTTAAATGCAAGCAAATCAAAGGCAAGTAATTCAACCTCGATTTTGTGATTTCAAATATCACTACTTAGAACTCAGTTATAAGCATGTATGCACGTTTTATAAAAGTTTATGAGAAAACTAAGCTGCCAAAGATGATTGTTCAGGATGGAAGCGAGGAGTAATTTCCAGTGAGGCTTCTATATTCTCTAATGCTGTCTTCATGAAAACATTAAACCAGTTCTTTTCACCAATGTCAGCAACCAGAAAGACGACGTGTTTCCTTGTAACACATTTGTATTTTATGCTTGGCATTTGGCCCAAAAAGTTCTAGACTTGAACATTGATTTTACAATTCTGTTTTTTTCTCCTTTACCAACAGATTATTGCTCAGAAAGCATGGAAGAAACTGATATTGGTTCGCAAAAGGACCCAAGAACAACCCAGTAGACAAAACTCAAACCAAGGCAAAATAAAAATGAAAATGAACATCTTATGTGCTTGCGATTTCAGAAGAAAACAAGATTTATACACCAAAACAGTCGGCTAATGTAATGATGGTGCATATCTTCTATTACTATGTAATGTGATGAACTCTCACCATTCAAACCTCCTACTATACTCAACGCAATCAACTGCGATTTTATTAACACCCCGGAAGAGACTGATCCGAAGCAAATGGTGAAAAGCTTGAAGTTGACTCACTATGATGAAGTGGATTAGGCGGACGACTAGAGGACTCGATGTAACTTGATGAGGCATTGTTGGGACTCGGAATGTAGGGTGACATGCATCGGGAGTTTAGGGATGATAATGATGGATAACCTAACGAGTGAGGAGAAACTAAATAAGCACCACAAGATCTTTGAGAAGAAGTGTTCCTGAAGTCGACTGAGCTTCTGCTGCTGTTAATTTGAGGAGATAGATGATAAGACTGAAGTGATTGCTGGTTATAAGAAGTGCTAAAGATGGACTGTAGACAGGGAACCAAAGGGGACCGAGATGATGACGTGGCAATCCGTATAGCTGAGGATGGTGCTAACGATGATCTAACGGATGACAATGCAGAAGATGAATTAACAGAAGCTGGGCTGGATGATAGCAACGCTGTAGATTCTGATGCTGGTGGATCACCAGTATTAGTTCTAGCATCACGTTTGCAAATGGGACAGAAGGTTCTCCATGATGTCAGCCAAGCATCAGCACAAGTAGCATGAAATTCTGTCAAAATTCCAAGATAAACTCAACAAGAACATACAGAATGATTATGATACAATTAATTACTTTTCCGTGGTTAAATGACAATCCCATCATAAAGCAATCGACTTGAAGTAGCAGAAAAATAGAGCTTTAAATTGACCAGTTGGTTTCCCTTCTTTCAGGGAGGTCTGAGACAGTTCCTGCGGAGGTATTTCATATTGTACAAGTAAACAGAATCATGTAAAAATAAGAGACAACGACTTACTATGGAGGCATGGCAGAATCCTAAGCTTCTCTCCAACATTATAATCGTCAAGACATATAGCACACGTACTTGACGTAGAATTATCCTCCAAAACAGTTGAAAAAATTAGGCTCGGCATGGCTTTCACCAGACGATTGCTCATTCCATGGAATTCCCGTACACTTGAAACTCGAACCCGTTCTCTTCTATTACGATGCCTCCAGTAGCATAAACACGTAGCTAACATAGCAGATACGGAAAGTAATGTAACAAAAGCTGTAGCCATGATCGAAAAACTTGATTCTTCAAAACTCTGGGTTAGCCATAGCTCCGTGTTTGGAATGCCGGCATAATTAGCCAGTGCTTCACCAGAAGCTTTGGATACAAACACAGCATATATTTTTATACCAGCAGAATTTCCTGCCACTGCATTTCCAAAAGTAAATGATGGATAAACACTTAAAATATTTGAATTTCCTTAAATGAATTAATCATAAAATAATAAATATTGTATAATTGACATGAATACTGCTGAATGCTGATCCTCTTGAATTTCCAGGGACAGGAACAAAAGCTACGATACTTGCTTATGCGCAACTGCTAAATGCATCCCCTACCCATTGGCTCTTGATATTTTAGTCAGTAGGCTAAAAGGCTACGATACTTGCTTATGCGCAACTGCTAAATGCATCCCCTACCCATTGGCTCTTGATATTTTAGTCAGTAGGCTAAAAGGCTAGCTCTTATATCGTACCATTCATCATGCAAAAACCTCTTCAGCATATCATAATTAGCTGTCAGATCTTGAATGTACTATCAATAACCATTTAAGAAAACGACAAAGAATATTTACTCCATTCTCTCATAATCTGAAACCATAGAATACAGATGCACATGTCCATAAATTGAGAGAATGCTTGACACCCCATTAATATATTATAATCACAGCCTTTCATTTCATAGTATATTTCTAGAAATGAGCTAATGAGAATGAAGTCCGGCATATAAGATGGTAATTACGTTCTGGGAATTCCAGAATATAATTTATTCATGCTAGTATGTTCTTACAGTTGTTGGAAAGGTGATGAACAATTCTGCTTATATTGGCAAAAAAAGGATAATCTGCATATATGATCCAGACACAGCAATTCTGTATACACGAATAACAAAAGTAAGCCTTGTTTGGGCTTCGCTATATGAATCCCTTTCCTCCAGTCCATTATGTTCATTGCTATATACCAAAAGATCTAAAGCAAGCTATTATGTACCAAAAACAAAAATTACCGTCCTACTTCAAACATTTCAAAGAAAAAATCACAATTAACTTACTTAAAATATTAGCCAAATGCCAATCAAAAAAATGTTTCCTAGGATATAAAATCATAGCAATGAAATCATAACTATGACTTATATACGCAATATTAAACTAATAATAACACAGGTATAAAGTTGAATGTAGGAAAAAGCCATTACTTGCAACTAGATCGCCGTCCTTGTTGTCATAAACAATGGCCACTATGAATCCTGCAGCTTGCGCTGTTCTGACTTTCGTCTCAAAGTTGCATCCTCCTCTGATGATCAAAACACACGAAAATTCGGTGCAGTTTGTTTTCAGAACAACATTATTAGTCAATAGTGAACATGCATCCAAAGGTTGGGCCACATTCAATGTGCGACATTTACCAAAACCTTTCACAGGTTGAGCTGAAATTATTACCACAGACAAAATCTATCAGTAAATGCTCAACCATGACAAAAAATAAATAAATAAAAGCGTCGTCACTTAGTTTAAAGGAATCCAGACACATCCATCTTGATTCCATATTATGAAATATGCATTGAGTGACTTGCAGAAACCAGCTAATCCCAATTTTTTCACTAAATTTTTAACTAAAATTTTTAATTCCAATGCAGATTCCAAATTCCAAGCTTATTTTAAGAACAGAATATGTGAGTTAAAACACAAATTTATCCGATAAATATCCCAACATTTGCAACGAAGAGCTCAAAAATTAAATAAAAAACGAAGAGCCCGAACTCGAAACACTAGCTAAAACACGAATAAACAAGAATCTCAACTATAACTAAACCTATAATCTAAGTGAATTAATTCGGCGAGAAGATAATGACAAGAAGGGGAAAAAAATAAAAAATAAAAAATAGAAAGAATCTACTCACCAAAAGTAGCTTCCCTATCTTCAAACGATAAAGTGACATTCTTTCCAATCAAAACAACATTGCCAAAGGCATTGAAAGGACCCAGCGAAACGAAAAAACCGCATAGAAATACCCAGAAATTCACCATCTTTTTTTCCATTCCTAATCTTACAACTCCCTCAATCTCAAATTCCCAGAAAACCGAGAAAAATTATGAAATTCTTACAAAGGGTTTTAATATTAATGGAATAGAAACATCAACTTCCATTCTATGACTCGAGGGCTGCGCAAATTCTTTCTTTATTTCCTTTGTAGGAGGCATATATGTATTGGGAGTAGGAGAGGCAGTGTGAGTTTCGGTAGAAATCGAATTTGTTTATTCAGGATGGTCTCTTTTGTTACCGGTGAGCTTATACAATCCTACTACTCAGTACAATTTATTTTACGATTTGATTTAAAATGCATTATAAATATCACGTCCATTTATTTAAAGTTTATTTATAAAATCAATAGCCAAGATTTTTTCAAAACACTTGTTGTCGATCAAGTTGTGGATAAATATTGTACAAGTAGATTTATTCTTTTTTTTTCCTTCTTTTTTTTTTTAATGAAGAAGGAACTTGCAGCCGCTACTAGGTAAATCCTCAAACTGACGTAATAACCTGCAACCACATCAATAAGATAAATCGCATTAAACAAGTCCGGTATGATAGACTCGATCAAGAAAGTATTAGTAGGGAGAATCGAACTCGTGATCAAAAGTCTTAGCGCTCACCTACTCCACCAACTCGATGATCCATGAAAAGCAAGTAGCTTTATTCTTATACGAAGAATAACTTGTCTAAGTCTAACCGAAGAAAATACAAACTATTAAAGTAATAAGATTGATATTTGCATTGAAGTAGTGGACACGTATGCGTTAGGAATTTGTTACCTTGTTCAATGGGTTAATGAGTTTACTTGAGTATTTTATTTATTTAGATGAGTTTAAATTCGAGTTTTGGGGACTGCTAAATCATTAAATCTCATGATCATATCACAAAGAAATTGTTAAAGAAAATATGAGTTGCAAGTATTGTAATAATTACAAGAGCCTTGATCTAATTATTAGATCTTTCGGAGATAATAAATATTGATGAGAAGTCAAGAGGATATAAATAGTAGGAAATTAATTTATAATGCTTATCTAATTTTTATATAATTTAAAAGTTCAATTTATTGCCTTTATTAGAATAAAACTAATAATTGTATTGAACGATATCAAATTGACTTGATTTGGTACAATTATTTAAATTCGATCAAGTCCTTTGGTATCTTTAATTAAATTCTAAATTTAATTGCATTAATTATAAAAGCTCATGGACTGCGTGTGCAAAAAAGAATAAAATAGAGTTAAAAGTTTAGTGGGAGACAAAATCAAAATATTAATCTTATTTATAGGACCGTGAGAGACGACCATGGGTAATTCTCGTGGCGCTAGTCGTCCACTTCAAATGTAGAGAGATTTCAATATTTCGTTCTTTTCTTGTTCTGTTTCTCAAACTTGTAATTCGTGATTTGGCTTAGAAGTATCCACTCGCTAGTTGCAACTCATGCTTTTCAAAATACCTGAAAATGAACTTGGGTTTGAAGTTTGAAGGTTGAAGATCAAGATTCAAGAATGGGATTAGAATTGTTGGTGATTAGTTCAGAATTCGAACTCATAGTTAATCATGTTTCAAACGTAATTTTGCAATGCTTTATATGATTGATTCAGCATGTTATAACATGTATATAATAATTTAATGAAAATTCAAGGGTCAAGTATTGTTATATAAAAATTTTATTACCTAGATTTTTACTTACTTTCAAATTCATAGAATGCATTGTAAACTAATTTTGACATCAATATTATGTACGTTAAAAGTCTTCTGATATCCAGTTTATTTATTTTTTTATTATTATTTTAGTTTTTAACAAACATTATCTTGATGGATCTCTGTCAGCTTGCATTAAGTACATCATACTTGTTATAAAAAGAGATAAAATAAGAATAAAAGTCAATAAATTTGTTTGTATTATAATGAGAACCGAAACCCCATATTTATAGAGAATGATTAGGGATACAATGGTAATAATTTTTATGGTTGCAAAAGTATAATTTTCACTCACTAATAAACTTACAATTTACAACACTTCCCCTTAAATAACACATTACAAAATACATGCCTCATCAGAATCTTGTTTGATAAAAATTCAATGGGACAAAAAATAAAACGAAGGAAAAAGAGTACATTTATTTTGGAGTATTAAAAATAAATGATACCTCATTAAAACATTACTAGGAAAATTCAGTGGTATAAAACTTAAGCGAAGAGAAGAATGCAGTTACTCCCCCTAATGTTAATCAATAAAAAATTTTGAGTCACACATTCCAATCTCATGAACCAAATTCTTGAATGTAGATGTCGACGGTGCTTTTGTAAATAAACAAATCACATTATCACTTGAACAAATTTGTTGAGTATCGAATTCTCCATTCTTTTGAAACTCATGTGTATAAAACAATTTTAGAGAAATATATTTCATCCTGTCACATTATTTGATATAACCTCCTTTGAGTTGTGTAATAAAGCTGCATTGTCTTCATACAAAAATGTTGGAGTAGATTTTGTTGAAGTTAATCCACATGATTCTTGGATATAATGGGTCATGTTTCTCAATCATACTCATTCTTTTCCTGCTTCATGGATTGCAATAATTTCATAATGATTTGAGAATGTTGCTGTCAATGATTGCTTCACAGATTTTCATGATAAAGTTTTTCCTTTACGTGTAAACACATATCCTTTTTATGATTTAATTTTATGTGGATCAGAGAGATAACCTGTATCAACATATCCTACTAGAGCAAATTCCGACTTCTAAGAATAAAATAATCACCAATCAATAGTACATTTCAGGTAATGAAAAATGTGTTTAACACATTCCAATATCTTTGAGTTGTAAGGAGATTTACTATAAAGAAGCTATGTCGAGTTGAGTGCAGTTTGCTAAAAAGTTAGTGCACCAATTGTACTAAGATATTGTACTTCAGGATTAAGAACATTTTATCCATCTTCAAGTGGACGACATAGATCTTTTTCACATCAAGTATTCTAACAACATAGGTGATGTCAATGCATGTACATTATCCATATAAAAATATTTTAAGACTTTTTTTGTATGTAGATTGATGAACAAATAATCATTTTGAAAAATGTTCAATCCGTAACACGAGAAAATTTTTGATTTTTTTCAAATCATTCATCTAAAATTCATTTTTCAAATAATCTACTGTTTTATTAAGCGCTTGTGGGGTTCCAATTAAATTTAAATCATTAACATAAATTGACACAATTGCAAATTGAATATTTGTTTTATTTATGAGAACACATGGATAAATATCGTCATTTTTATAACCATCATTCAACAAATATTTGTTGAGTTTATACCATATGCTCCGGATTGTTATAAAGATCTTTACAATTTAATTGAGAATATGATTATCGGGCATGTATTATTTGTTCCTAGTACTTTAAGTCTTTTAAGGACTTTCATATTTATATATATATATATATATATATATCACTATCAAATCGTCCATACAAAAAGACAATTACAACATCCATAAGCAGCATATCGAGCCTTTGTGACACAGCCAAACTCATTAAGAATTTAAAGGTGATGGTGTCTATTATGAAAGAATATATTTACTCATAATTAATTTCTGGTCTACGTGAGAAACCATGAGCTATGAGTTGGACTTTGTATCTTGTAATTTCATTATTTTCATTTCTCTTTCGTAAAAAAGTCCATTTGTATCCTGCATAGATTACAATTTCAGGTGTTCGAATTACAAGTCAAAATACTTTTCTTTTCTTTGATGAATTCAATTTTGCTTGTATAATTTCTTTCCATTTTGGTTGATCGTTTCTATGTTGACAGTCTTTAACAGATTGTGGTTTAAAATCTTCATTTTGCATAATATCAAAAACCACATTAAAAGCAAAAATATTATCCATAACAATATGATTTCATTCCCATAATTTATGAAATAATAGATGATTTATTAAAGTCTCATTATTTTTCAGACACTTGTTGTTCTTCGGGAATCATATTTTCAATATTTGATGGATCAATCTATTTTAATGTTACTACTTCTGAAGTTTTTTGTTGGTTTTTCTCTGTACTTTTCTTTTTGGAGGTACAGAGTCTTTTGAACCAACTGGTTGATCATGCTTCTGACGTATCTGAGATTTATTTGCTATGGTAGATTGTCCTCTAGGAACATCAATTTTTTGCTGCAATATTTATTGCTAATATATATGACTTTCTCACTTTCTTGTCTTAACAAATATATCTGGTAACTGATTTACAACTCTTTGCAAATAAAATAATTTTTTCAACCTCTTGCTCACTTTGATTTTTGTGGAGACCAAAGCGATAGAGTTGTCATATTCCAAGAAATTTTACCTTATTTTTTAAGATGTAATTTTTTCCATCCCAGAATTGGAAAAGTCATTTCATCAAAATCACAATCTGTAAAACATGTAGTGAATAAATCACTCTATTAAAGATTCAAGATAACTAATAATAGATGGTGAATCAAAACTCACATATATCTCAAGTCTTCATTGAGGACCCATTTTAGTACGTTGTGCGATAAATATAGGAATTTGGACAACACAAACAAAAACTAGTGGGTGAAAGATTTTAGGTGCATCACCAAATGCAAGTTACAAAGGTGAATATTGCTAATATGCAGTTGGTCCTATACGAACCAGTGACATAGCATGTAATATGGCATGACTCCAAATAGAAGTAGGTGTTTTATTTTTATAAGTAATGGCCTAACAATAAATTGTAGACATTTAATAAACTCCACTAAATCATTTTGTGCATGGACATCCGTAACCGAATGTTCAATAACAATTCCAATTGACATACAATAATCATTAAATGCTCGTGATCTAAATTCATAGGATTGTCAAGATGAATAGTCTTGATTGAGTAATCGGGAAAGTACACTCATAATTTTATGATTTGAGCAAATAGTCTAGTAAAGGCTCATTCCTAGTGGAAAAATATGCAAAAATGTGACCATATAGTAGATGAATCAGTTAATACCAAAAAATAACAAAATGGTCCACATGGTGAATATATTAGCCCACATATATTTCCATAAATTCTTTCTAAGAAAGTTGAAAATTCAATATTGACATTTGTAGTCAAAGGTCTAATAATTAACTTGCCTCGTAAACCAGCCACAGATGGATAATTATTAGGTAAAAGAATCTTCTACTTCTATAAAGATGTCCATGTAAGTTGTTTGTTTTTCGACGCATCAATATAGCTCCTATATGTCCAAATCATGTCAAAGTATAAAA